GTGCGAGGGCCCCAACGGCAGGAGGACGAGGATGAGGGCGAGGATGAGGAAGGCGAGGACGATGGCGACGACGACGCCGACGACGACGATGGTGATGATGATGATGCCGATGCTGCTGATGCTGCTGATGCTGCTGATGCTGCTGCTGCTGCTGCTGTTGTTGTTGTTGTTGTTGTTGTTGTTGTTGTTGTTGTTGTTGTTGTTGTTGAACATTATTTATTCTAAAGAATAATTATTGTTGGGCCCCCTGGTGCGCGCCCCCCCTGCGCCGCCTAGGCCGCAGCTACATTTTCATCATTTTCGTGAGGAAGCCTCAGAAAAGAGGGTGTGTACAGGATCCGGTTGTTTTGTTGTAATCCGCTTTCCCTTGCAAAAAACAATAGAAAATGACATTTCTTGTTCTAATATAATCAAATTTCAAGAATCCCTTGCAAAAAATAAGGTAAAGTGGACATTCGCGCGCGCAAGACGAAATCCTTCCAAAACCTTAGTGTTCGCAGCGATTTTAACATAAAAACATCAAAAAACCAATGGTTTTTCAACAAAAAAATGTCAAAATCTCATCCCGCGCGCTCTTGCGGATTCGTAGGAAACCCAACACTTTTTAAACATTTCTGTCAAACGGGCTTTTGCGAGCAACTTTTTCGAACTTCTGCGACAACGGTTGCGCACCTGCCAGGGCCATCATCCCTGTCAAATAATACCATGCGGGACACATTCGTTTTTTCTTCGCGCGCGCACGCCGAAATCTCCAAAAACCATTGGGCTTCTTAAGAATTTTAGCACCGCGCATCATAAAATCACACGAATCGCACCGTAGGTCCTCGAAAAACACCTGCACGACTTTTCAAAATTTCTACCCGCGCGCGCTGTCCGAATCCTAAAAAAACCAATGGTTTTCCAACATTTATGTTACATGAGCTCGCGCGAGCTACTTTCGCACGCTCTTGCAACGGGGTTCGCGCGCCTGCCAGGGGCCACAATCCCTTGCGGTTGCGCCATAGGTTGCGCCCTCGGCCGCCGAGAATAAAACGTCCCCCTATTGGTTGCGCCATAGGTTGCGCCCTCGGCCGCCGAGAATAAAACGTCCCCCTACTGGTTGCGCCATAGGTTGCCCCAGGAGGCCTTCAAGAGGCCCCAAGAGCCCGCCGTGAGGACCGGCATCGCTCACAACCATCGGGACAACCATCGGGACAACCATCGGAACAACCATCGGGACAACCATCGGGACAATCATCGGGACAGTCATCGGGACAACGATCGGGACAAGCACAACCATCAGGACAACCATCGGGACAATCATCGGGACAACGATCGGGACAACCACAACCATCAGGACAACCATCGGGACAACCATCGAGACAACCATCGGGACAACCATATCCTCTCTCTCTTGTGTATTCCCACATCCCTCAGGAATTTGCCCTAAAGATGTGATCAACTATCTTGTGAGTACGTATCATGTGTATCATGTGTATCATGTACCATATGCATCATATGCAACAGATGTTCTGTGGAAGGCTTAACAACTTCTGTGGGTTAACAAGGCTTAACAACTTCTGTGGGTGTACGAACGTAGGCTTAACAACTTCTGTGGGTGTGTACTCCACGCCAGTGTAGTAGCCACGGTCGTCCGCAGGCCACGAAGTGAAGTGTCCGAACGTCATAGGGCGGGAAGCTGGGTGTGGGTGGTGGCGAAGAGTCGTGTGGATATTTGGTAGAGCTTGCACTGCCCCCCCACAAAGTGGGGGTATTGGCTGGCGTCGCATGAAAACCCTGGCACTGGTGAGAACACTGAGCGTTCGGGTAAAGTGATTATTGTTGTTGTTGTTGTTGATGGTGATGATTTTGTTGATGCAGATGTTGATGCAGATGCTGCTGCTGCTGATGATGATGATGATGATGAGGATGCTGCTGCTGCTGCTGATGATGATAATGATGATTAGGCTTACGATGCTGCTGCTGATGATGGTGAGTTAAGAAGAGGAGCAACACTGCTAGTGTTAATGCTTACAAGCGTGGACACAGCAAAGTGGCTGCCTGCAGTATATGCGATGCGATCTAGATGGTGCAACCAATGCGATGCAATCCAGGTGGTGCAATCCAGGTGGTGCAAGCTATGTGGTGCAAAGCAGTCAAATGCAATGCAACCTGATGCAAACCAATGCAAATCAATGCAAGACACTGCAACGCAATGCAGCGCAATGCAAACCAACGCAAACCAAGGACATTTAGCGCAAAGTAATGTAACGTAATGCAAGGCACTGCAACACGGATTAATGCGAAACAACGCGAAGCAATGCAATTGAATGCACCGCAATGCAAAGCAATTCAACGCGATGCACAGCATTGCGACGCACCGCAACGCAATGCACAGCACGGCATTGCAACGCAATGCAAGTCAAAGCAACACAGTGAGCGCACGTCGTGAGGTCCAGGCCGGCGGGCCTGTAGCTGTCCCTGCCGCGTGGCCGATGGATTGTCGCAGGGGGTCTGCCCTGGACTCGGCCGGAGTCGAAACTGTGCACGCCCCCTTCCGTCCTCCCCTCCCCTTCCGCTCGTCCCCTCTGGCGGTGTACGAACCTGTCTGGCCGCGCGCTGCCGCGGCGGGAACTCCTGATGAGGCGGCGCGCCGAGTCCGTGACAGGAGTTCGTTGTTCGTAGGTGCAATCGCCTCTGTCCCAGCCGCGTGATCATTGGAGCACGGTGCGCCAGCAGCCGATTGGATGGACCAGGGCGAGAAGCTCGTTGGACGGCCTGTGTTATTTGAACGTCTCGTCGCTCTTCTCCCTCCCCTCTCCTTGCCGCTGCCGCCGCCGCCGCTTATCCACTTTCTCATAGCATGATCGTGTGTTTGATTCGCTCCGGCTGGAGCTGCGCTCGCGAGGGATCCCGGGTGCTGGAGTATGGCCAGTCTACGTTTCAAGGTATGCTGGACTTCTGGGTGGCCTGTTGGAGCCATCAAGTTTTGAACGCAGCATTTGACCGACCAGTCAGATACGTTTTAAGTGGGAATTCGTATCGGTCGGCCCATGCTGGCATATGCCTGCGACAGACAGCAGGTCAACCTCGGGCATCCCAGCCTATTTTCGATCTGAGGCTGTCCCATGTCGTCGCGCACTCCTCTTCCTCGTCCTCGTCCTCCTTCCTCCTCTTTCTTTCTTTCTTCCCAGAATCTTGGTGCCAGTTTGTTGGTCGAGCTGCCCGGTCTGGGCTGTGACCGCTTAGATTGCCGCTGAGAAATCTTTCAACGTGGGTGCGATTTATTTTCCTCGTCGCTCAGTGCACGGCGTTACTTGGACGCGCGTCTTCGGGTGGAGTCATCGTGAAACCAATTGAACTGAAGGCGATTGCAACAATGACGCAACACAATGCAACGTAACGCGCGACAGTGCAACGCAATGCAGGGCAATGCGAAGCAATGCGTAGCAACGCATAACAACGCGAAGTAACGCGAAGCAGTGCCAAGCGGCTGGCGACGAGGCGGCGGGCGGCGACGAGGCGGTGACTGCGGCCACATGGTGGCCAGAGCGGCCCGCAGGCCCAGTTCCTTAGAAGAGATATAAGAACCCCTATGTGCAAACACTGTTGTGTGGAATAGGAAGAATGTCAGCCATCGTGGACCCCAAGCAGTGTGTTTCTAGCAGTCTATGTTGTACAATATATGTGGTGTTATCTATGCTCTGCAACATATGTAGTACAGAGTATGTGGTGCAATCTATGCTGTGCACTTCAAGTGTGGAACTCGCAGTTGTCAACTCTACTGCTCGCGCACTCGTCCCACTTACCCACCCGCAATTTGGTTTGCAAAAACTATGCGGCGGCGATTGCGATGACTGCTTGGCGCTGGCTGATGCATTTCTGCGGCCGCGCCAGTCCGCGCATGCACGCGCGCGCAAGGGCCAGCTAGCTTGGCGCGACCGACGCGGCCGCGGTGGCGCTGACCGCTGGGCACAGCCCAGCGGGCATTTCAGTGCGAGTCGGCGACTCGGGCGGGCGCGGTATCATGGCAACGTCGACACCGGTAGACATGATGATGATGGTAGCAATGCTGGTGGCGATGTTGACAGCGACGACGGCACGGCCAGTGACGGCGCTGATGCTGATCACGTCGACGGCGATGACGGCGTCCTCGCGTCGAGGATGAAGGTTTTGGAAGGAGTTCGACATGCGCGCGCGCGCGGCCTGCGCGCGAAAGTGGCCGCGCTGTATTCATTGACGCGGATTGTGCCCCCCCCGCAAGCACGCGTGCAAAGGGCGTGCGAATGATTTCGGCATGCGGCGCGAGAGGCCCGCTTGGCAGAATTCTGTGACCATGTTAAACAGCTTATGGTTTTCGGATGAATTCCCAGGAGCGCGAGCACAAGTGTTTGTGAAACATGATGTTGCGACACCATGTGGTTTTATATGGTTTCGGGACAATCGGTTTTGAAATCGTTGCGAAACCTACGGTCCTTCTACACCAGATTTCGGCAAGCGCCCGCGGCGACGCGCGCGTGCACTTCGTTAGGTTTTTTTGTAAAGGATCCTCGCAACAGCTCACGCGCAAAAGGGTTCGAACGATTTCGACAAACGCGCGCGAAGTCCGTTTGGAAGCATTTTATGAAAAATATTGAAAACTCATGATTTTCTTAGGAATTCGCAAGAGCGCGCGCGCGCAAGTTTCTTTGAACATCCGTGTTGCGAAACCATGTGTTTTTGTATATGTCTTTTTGGGGCAATTGATTTTGAAGTCCTTACGAAACCGACGGTTGTTGAATGATTCCGGCATGCGCGCACGACGACGCGCGCGTGTGCATTTGCTCTTCCAAGGGGTTTTTGGAAACGGATGATTATTGATGAACGGGTGGGTGTGGGTTCATATTATATGTTTTGCAGAGGATGGCGGGGGGTGTCGATGCCGGCGTGGCTGGGATGGTATAATTTTTTTTTTAGGGTGGACGATGGGGTAGAATCATATGTCAATTTCAGTACAAAAAAGGGAACCGATCACCCAGGGG